TCCAGGCTATAGTCCTTGCAATTACATGGTATGCATCAGAGAGTTGGACAGTGAATAGGGATGATAGAAAGAGAATTGATGCCTTTGAGCTGCAGTGCTGGAGAAGAGTGTTGAATATACCATGGACTGCTAGGAGAACAAACAGGTTTGTCCTAGAGAGGGTGAAGTCGGAATGCTCCCTGGAATCAAGGATTCTGAAGCTTCGTCTGACATACTTTGGGCATGTTGCAAGGAGGGACTGGTCCTTGGAGAGGGACACCATGTTTGGCAGAGTGGAGGGGCGGCGAAGGAGAGGAAGACCCTTGATGAGATGGATCAATTCTGTGAGTGGAGAGGTGGGAATGAGTTTGTTTGAGACAGCGAGGTTGGCACAGGATAGAACGGCCTTTAGGGCTCTTGTACAAAGGGTCGCTGTGAGTCACAAGCAACTCGATGGCACAGAACAACAACAGCAATTGAAATAAATGTTGATGACAGAAGGTATTTGAAAAATTATTTAACCTGAATTATTTCATCTTGGTGAAATAAAACTAGATGTGTTCTAGATAACAGCTTTTCCCCAGAAAATTGTGCTTCAAAGTAAGCTGCTTTAAAGAGTGTTTTCAATTATGATTTCCTGGTAAAGAATCCCTGAGTGTTGTGTACGGTTAACACGGCTGCCAACTAGAAGTTACCCTGGAAGAAGGACCTGGCAATGTATGTCCCAAAATGTTAGGATTAGAACCAGTGACTGCGGGAGGCAAAAGTTACACCAGAGCCAGGAAGCAGACACTGACATGCACAGAATTGGGGCTTTGCGTACTACATGCCTGATGTCAGAAGCAGGGGACACTTTGGGCTTGTGAATGACATCAACAGGGACCTGAATGAGAACCATCCACTAAACTTTGAACTCTCTATAGCATCATCTCATTGGCCCAGACTCAGTTCCAAGGCCCACCCAGAGGAGGAGGCCATAAATAGAGTCTCACTGCACCGGCACCAGGCTTTTCGGTTTTCTTTGAAGGAGGGGGGTCCATCCCTTTGGAATGTAACTTTCTGATAAGTCTGTCTTTACTTGTTTACCCTCACTTCTGCATCCTCGTCTTTTTCTTCTCATCCTCATGCTCCAAAAAGGAACGTCAGCCTACACTTTAATGCTCCGTGCAAGTCTGCTCTCCCAAGAGACACTGAAGTTGCTGTACCCGGTGCTGTGTTAGTATTTGGGCACCATCCCCTCTGCTAGTCTCTTCAGTCTGGTATAATTCTTTTGCCTGTGCTAGAAGGGAGAACTAGGACACTGATGGCATGATAGCAACACCAACCTTAAAAACCCGTGGGCCACAGTTCTTTTTTCAAAAAAATTTTTAGTTGTGGTTTTTTTTTAATTTTTCTACTAATTTATTTACAAAATTCAAATACAAACTTGAACAAATTCTTTCCATTTTCCTCACTCCCCACCCATCAAATTGTACAACCCAATGATTAATCCCCTCTTCCCCCTGCACATCCACATCCCTCTGCTTCCAGCCTCTCCCACCCCTCCTGGATCCTTATACTCATTCTACAATAATGGTCT